CTACGACGACGACGACTACCACCACCACCTTCTACGACTACGACGACGGGTACTACTATACTACAACTCGTCGCCGGTACCGCAGCAGGAACAACAATGCTGATTGCGGCGGGTGTTGTCGTAGTCGTAGTGGCTAGGGAGGCTGGAGGGTGGGAGGCAGCGACTAATCGTAAATCGTATCAAAAGATCGATGTCGAACCGTCGATTCGGTCACGGCCAGTATTGAGAAGGTTAGATGGTGCAGCTACTGCAGAACTATCGCTTTCAATCAAAGCTCGCAGCGGTCTCCTGTGGCGTGGCCCGGGATCCGTCGCCCTGACACCGGCTTCGAACCGAAGCAAAGAACCTGGAGCTTTTTTCGATTTACATGAATATGAAATGCTGGCGTCGGGGCCATCCTTCAGTGCTAGCAAATCAAAATTGCTGCAGCCGGCGTATTTGGTCCCCATGGGGATGTTGATCCGATTTTTGGATTTGCCGGCAAACCTGATTCCCCCTCGCACTCGCCCTGCAACACACCAAAGCTGTGCATATGCGAACCTGCTAGACTAGACCAGGGAAACGATAGGGCAAGAGTCGTGGCGTGCAACGAAGCCAGAAAGTATGCAAATTTGGGGCAGGTGCTGCTCTTCTTCTTCTTGCTCCCGTGCTCGGCGCAATAATGCCTCCAACTTCAGCAGTGGATGTCGTTTGGTAACAAATGCATCTCAGCCTTCACGCATATGATGTCCCTGTGCTAATGCAAGTGGAAGTACACACCTGCACATCACTGTGACTCTACACTGCCTCGACCTCTGCCAGGTTCCTGGCTTGCCGCTTCCGTGCTTCGCCATCGATGTCCTTCCGTCATTTCGTCAGAGTCCAGCAGTAGCAATCAACAATTGACAACGGAGTCACACAGTTGCCAAAAGCAGGTCCCTCTCGGGCATCAGAAAGTTCGGTGATGTCGTCCTGGGCAGCTGTGCGAACTTACGGCGGCCACCAGGGCGGTATCCACGTGACTGTTGCTCCACAACAGACTTCCGCACATACTTAAACAGCACACTGTATAACGCAACCTCCTGCAGCTCCTTGTTCCCAAAATTGCAGGCTTAGCGGCTTCCTCGGTTCACCTGCCGGCTGTCGCGATCGGACTTTGAACTTGGGTTGCAATCACTAACGTTGATGGCCAAGGCATTCAGAGAAATGTCTTCCGTCGTCCATTTCTGCCTGCAGAACTTCGTGTGCGAACTCTTCATTTGGCCTGTAGCCGATGCATGCATGTATGTATCTGCGTAAATGCTGCACTGGGTTTTTGCTGTGGGGCGGAAATTCCCCTTGCGCACCTGGCGTGCATTTGACGGGGCGAGGGTTTTTTGTTTGCGGGGCTCCATGGATTTGCCAGCGCATAGCCGCTATGCATGTAGCTGTCATGCAATCCGATAAGATGCGCACGCGCATGCCACGCGCACATCACGTACGAGACGTACTCAGTGCACAGCAGCAGCTACTAGGCAGCCATGGTCGAAAACTTTACAAGACTGCTCAGACGTGATACGCGACATGTGATCACATACAGCTCAGGCCAAATGCCGAGGACTGCAGATTGCCACTTTAGCAGCAGAACTTCAAGCGTCACCACACGAAGTCATCAGTAAGAAGTGGCGTGTGAGATATAAGCGACGCACCTTCATAATACCAAACAAGTGGAACATGAAACACGGCTTGCCCATGCGAAGATGTCGATCGCATTCAACAGTGTCAACCCATGCCATGTGCAAGCCATGATGGTGGTGGAGGTGGCGTTCGTCGCCCTCGTCTGACATCTCATCGTCGCCCTCATCGCCATCCTCGTCCCCCTCGCCATCACAGCTATGGCCTTGTCCGAAAGCATTCTAGGAGAAAGACATGGAACGCACAATTTTCAGCGTCTGTTTGACACCTGTTTTGGACAGGATTCGCGAGCTGATTCGGGGAATGCTCTCAAATAGCCCGCACGCGTTCAACCCCCCAAACAGCTCGCGGCGCCCTGAATGGTGTGGTTTCAGAGAGGTGTGTAGGATGGTGCGTCCCGGCACTGTGGAGGGAGACACCACGCAGAGGCACAGAGGGGTGTGAGGGTGGCACATTCTGACCGACCTGCCTGAGGCCTACGAAAAGCAGTCTTCTCCGGCCTCTTCTTGTTGTTTTGTGTTCACCGAAAAATAACTAAGCAACCGTTTTTGCTGCTAAATGCAGCACAAAACACATCCGACTGATTTTTTGTGCGCATGATTACAGACGACCGCCAAACAAATTGCAGAATCCTGAATAAGCACCGGCAAAAAATACCTATACAGGATCACCTGACTACGGTAAACCCAGTCCACTAGTATATGTGTCTGTGTATGTATGTATGTATGTATGTATGTATGTATGCATGCCTGCCTCCATGTATGCCTGCCTGCATGCATGCATGTACCTGTGTATGTGTGCATGTAAGTGTGCATGTGTGTCTGTATAAATCTCT